AGTCACTGGTGCTTGGAGTTCAGTCACTGGTGCTTGGAGTTCAGTCACTGGTGCTTGGAGTTCAGTCACTGGTGCTTGGAGTTCAGTCACTGGTGCTTGGAGTTCAGTCACTGGTGCTTGGAGTCCAAAGGATTATGTGTATATATATATATGTAGATAACCCTCCTTCACAGAGGTTTTGTCGCCCTTGGAAGGGTGGAGATGGGTGGATATGGCATGGGGGTGGCTTGTGGCATTTGGAAGAGTGGGAACCATGAAGATCTGGACGCTCGGGATGATATTCTTGGGAGATCCAACAGGACTTGATCATGAAGGGTCGAATTGGGAATGGTGCTTTCGAAGGCTTTTGGATGGGCTTTTGCTCATTCAAGGCGATCCCTGTACTGCAGAATTGTTTGGCTGAAACGTGAACTTTCAAGATCGGCCGAAATGGCGGGGCAAGACACATGTTTCAAGTGTCAGACCAGTTAGATGTTCCCAGAATTGGTTTACGGGAAATCTACGGACACCCTAAGGGGTGTCTATTCATAGCCCCTTAGAGGTTAAGGGGTGTCCATTAACCACCCCAACCGTGGGTCCTAGTATGGTCCCAGACACTCCATGGGACTGCCATAGGACTGCCGATCAGGCCAGGGGTGGTTTTGGATGGTTTTGGGGGGTCAATGGGGCGGCATATCTTCCAATGAGGGAATGGATCCTAATGATGGTATCCATTTAGTGGAGGGGACCTGTTGGACAGATGTTTTTGCGCCGTTCAGGATGTGGATTTCTATCGGGCGGACTTGACCGATTTGCCTTTCGTCTCTCGGACGAGGGGTGCGTTTGAGGGCGGGGGGTGAGGAGGATGGGTGTGGTTGTGAGGGGAATGGACCAAAGCACATCGCGTTCAGGCCGCCTCTGAGAATCTCAGGATCAGACTTGCCAAGAATGTGGGAATGGACAGTTGCCGATGGCTTTTGTAAGGAGAGATGTCCACATCCCAGCCTGATAGAGATGGGGGCTTCCGTCCGATGTCTTGTCGATGTCCACCTGTCCGACGAGCGTTGCCGAGTTGGTTCGAACCAAGGAGTTTGGGGAGACCTGTTTCTTCTTGGTGTCCAAGTTCAGCGATTTACCAATGGCTGAGATGTTGCCACTGGGCGGAAAACCTGGCACATGCACGCAGGGTGGGGTTTTGTTGTGTGTGGGCTTTGTGATGTTGGTTTGATCAATGGGAACTTGTTGGTTTCAGAATAATCCAGAGCTTTGTGGCCTAACTTCCGATTGTGCGCTTGGCGCGTAGCTAGCATAGTGTTTGGATCATTGGGGATCGTTGATTTGACTAGCTCTCGGCATTGGTGGTGACTGTACTCATGCTGCTGCAACAGGCCAGCTTCCAAAGCTGTCCTGCTTGCAGTGGCCAAGCTCTAAAGAAACCTGCGCTGCTTCCAATTTTGGTGCATGTATCTTGTGTATATGTGGGCCCGTCCCAAACATACAATTAGAACAGGAAGGAACCATTCCAACTTGGAGCATTTAGCTTTTGCAAGCCACCTGACGGCAAAAATCATCGCAGAAAGGAGGCATATCAACTTGATGCACATTTTTTGTGGGCCACCCCAGGCAAACATTTAGAGGAGGAAGGCTGAGTTCCCTCTTGGACGATACTTTGGGCGCCCCGAGAGTAGATTATTTTGGAGCAGGAAAGAGCACCAACTTCACCCCCACTTCTATGCTTATCCATTGTTTCCATTCCAATTTCATTTCATTTTACTCTGGCTCCCGTGCCCAAAACCGAAAACCATTCACACACAAGACCTTAAACTAATCCCGAGCCCAACTTCAATGGGCCCTGTGCGGCCAGTGGCTGCTCTAAAAGAAGCTGTGCGGCTTGTAGCGCCAGGGTCCAATGACCCTGTGCTGGTGGCGGCCAGGGCTCGACCCAGAGCCAACCCTACCTTTGGTCACACATATTTGTGCTAGTGATGTATGCAGTTATGCAGGTGGTCTTTGTTGGCGTGCGCTGATTTCGTGGCAGGGCCAGGAGACATTTCGTGGCAGGCAGCACTTTGTGAACCTCGAACGCTGCAAACGCGGCGCCTTGTGAACTTCGAGGTGTAGATTTTGTGGCAAGCGCCGGGTGTCTTTATTTGTCTTGTTTGGTCTCATTCAGTCAGTTTCCTTGTTGATTGAGAATGGATACAGACTCGTGCTTAGTAGGGGATGAGGGAATGAACCAACCCTGTAGATACCTGGGATCCATTCCCTTATTCCTTACTAAGCACCAGTCAGGATATGTCCCTATCTTTCGATCCCTTTTGATCACCACCCTGTTTGATCGTCTCTCTCACCTCCGAGGACGAACCGTGGCACAGCCTTGGGCTCCTTGGCATGTCGCTTCGATGGGCTCCAGGAGCACATGGCCATCATCGAGGCGACTGGGCGCTTGGAGGACTACGTCATGGTGGCCAACCCCGAGGCGCGGTCGTGAGCCGGTGCAGGCTGCCGCGGGGCACGCCGCAGCCGCGGGGGCGTGAGGGCGGTGCTTTCGAAGCGTCGAGGCGGTGCACCATCTCCACGTCTTTGAGGACTTGCCTCATGAGGATGTGCCCTTTGGTGTGGGTGTGGTGGACTTGGGCTCCAAAGATGAGTGCCACGGCATCGCAAGGGCAGGGAATGCTTGGGTTGAGTTGGGTGGTGTGCGAGTGCTTGGGCATCGAAGGCTTTGGAGGTGTTGCAGAGATTGCCTATGGAAGCCATGCAGCGGATAGAAATGGAGATGGTTCAACGCCTGGTAGGTCCAGCACCATGTAGTTTGACCTTCTAGGTAGGTCAACCCAGGCATCTTGTTTTGACCCGCAACATCCCGCAACCAAATGTGTTCAAGGGTGTTCAAGACCGTCAAGAAACAGGTTTTTGGAAGTGTTGTCTATTGTGAGGTATCGTCATTTTGTGGGGTATTTTTGCCAGTCCAGTTTCATTTGTTTGGAGTTCAAGCAGGGTCTCACAATCTTCGCCTACTTCTTCGCCTTTGACCAAGAAATTTGATATCTTGTGATTCCTTTGACAATCCGAAAGGGTCCAGGACCATCCTAATGATGTCCTGAATCGCCCCCAGACTAAAACCATTCTCTGGAAGTAAGTCATGTCACCTCCCAAACCATCCTCAGGAGGTACCTGAATCCGGGTTCACGGTTCAAGAGCTTTTGCCCTTCCACACCAGCAGCGACTCGGCCACTGAGGAGGGTGCAGACTGAGCAGTTGCACCTGAGCAGTTGCATTTGCGGAGGATCCCACCATCGATTTATGTCGAAGACAAATTCGCCCACCAAACCAGGACCCGAAAGGCTTCCTGCCCCACCATTGCTTTAATAGCCTGAATCCCGGACAACCATTGTTTTACTAAAAGAGGTTTCGCGACCAAAACCGGGCCAAGCATTTTTCTGCCTTGGAAGGGAATCCAGCAGACACCAACAGCGGGGTTCTTATCCTCGAGATCTTGTTCCAGGAGCTTCACAACTGAGAGTAGCACCTGAAATGTTTGCCGTCCAGCAGTCACAAAGGGGTGCCGAACTTGGAGGATAGGGGTGCCCAGAACATCCCAGAACGTCCACTCACTGGATGGGACTAAAAGCAACCCCTTTGTGACTCCTGGGTTGTTCAAGTTGCTTCATATGGAGATCAGGTTTATGTTTGACAAGGGGGCGAACTTTGATTTCGTCACACATCTAAACATAGCGTTTCTTTTGACGGATGGTGAGTCAACCGGCGGGTTTTACAATCTGTTTAGCATACAATATTTTGTGGTGTTCTTGGCAAGAGATCTACAATCAAGTGCTTCAAGGTTCGTGTTTTTGGGTCAAAGCTCCGGTCAAGGCTTTAACCATTAGACAGAATTGGTTTGAAGAGAGGACAGTGATTGGACCAGATTCACTGAGGCTGTTGACGGAGCACTTAGTCAGTTTGTTTGCAATATCTCTAGTTCCAACAAGCATAAACACACCAACACAATAAATGAAGCATGCACGCACACTAGTATACCTGATTTAGTTGTATGCTGATTGTTGGATCTTCCCGGCAATTTTCTGACAACGAGAAGACTGCCCCCCTGGATTGGTTGATTCTAAGCATCCATCCTTCCATCCTCGTGTATTAAGTTCGCACAGTTGAAAGAGCTCACCACCTGCGACTTTTTACGTCTTTAAGTCTCCATTTCAGCCACCCTCTCTCGGAGACCGTCGGACTGTCCGCCGTGGCGGCCGCGTTTGAGGTACCAAGACCTGTTGTGCCTGGAGCCCGTGCTGAAAGCTCGATCGGTGACCCACTTGTTGACGGTCTTGACGGGCTATGGCCCCAGCACGATGCCCTTCTTCGCGGAGGCCACGGTGCACCACACGGCGCCTGAGTAGCATACGGGCGTGGAGCGTGGTGGTTGTTTCATCCGGGGCGCGGAGCCGCCGGGAGTCCAATTGAATTTGCTGCCCGCTTCGGGCCAAGAGGTGCCCCCGAGATTTGGCCGTCCGGATCCATGGCGTCAATTTTGGCCTATATTCACCATCTCAAACCATCACAATGTAGGCGACATTTGCTATTCCCATGGATCGTCCAGAAAAGATGGGTGGCCAGGGTCGACAGCGGAGTGACGTTGAGTCCCATCACGGCATCGATACTCTCCTCCGTTCGGCACCCCTATCGATACTTGGTGGTGGATCCCTATTGTGTCTTGTCAATGTTTTCGAAACATGGCAAGATGTATGGGGATTTAGGGGGGCCTGGTTGTTGGTTGGAAGCAGTCTTTCTGTGGTCTGTTTCGTCCACGCTTTTGGGAGCTCCTGGCTGTTCCCGCGTTTGTCACATGTTGACCGTCGCGATGTTCATCGTCGAACAGCTCATCTCAGTTGAAGCAGCTCTGTGGCTTGGTGGAGTACTTGGCCCGGCACTGCAAAAGCTTGCGCCGTGTGTCTTGGACACGGAACTGTCGGCCGAAGAGGTCGGCATTTTGCGGGAAGGGGTACCAAGGGGTACTCCATGCCAAGCGGTAAGAGGCATGATGTAGAATTCCGTTCTCAGACACTCCAATTTGATTGACCTACATTCACCTCTCACTCGTTCGCCACCCCAATAGTCACCCCAATATACTTCACCAGTCCCACGGAGTCTTTGGGATGCTTGTGTCCCTGGGTTATGGGAGGATGGAAGATTTTAGCCATCGATGGCAACACCGGTGAAGGGCGTGCCCCCAATTAGAGAGTATATGACATGATATATACTGTGTCAGGGTGCATATTTGCAGTTAAATCAGGGTGCTAATTGGCAGTTAAATCATGGGCCTAGCACATCCTAATCATATATCCACTCATGATCGAGTTTGTTTATTTTAGCACCACCCCTTCATATCCACCTGGTGTTGTGTGAACTTGCTTTGTTCTTCGGACGTGGAGTCGTGGGAACGGAAGTCGTCAGTCGCGCGGAACACGCTGCTGAGCGGTTGAGGTCACTGTGGCCTCGTACAAGTCTGAGACTGCTCAACAGATCAGGGAGTACTTCTCTGGAGGTTCATGCGGCAGACTTTGGGATGTGATGTTTATGACTGACCAGTGGGTAATGGGTAGGCAGAGGCCAAATGAGTGTGGCCCAACTTAAATGTCAGACCCACCCAATGCACAAGACTTGGTCGATTTGCCCCTTCACAAGGGTCTTTTGTGAGGTGGCACACCTTGTTTGGAGCCTTGCTTCAACGAAGCGACATACTGCTGGGCGAGGTGGACGGACGCATATTGGTTTCGTCTCAAGCGTGTGAGCTCATCGGGTCCGGAGATCTGGACAGATGAAGCGCTGACCGTGACCACTGACTAAGCCACAAAAAGCCCCGGTCCCCCGATCCCTTTCACTGGTGTTCTTTTTGAAAGAGTACGACCTAAGGACCATTTACTGTTAACTGCAGGATGTTTTATCGCTTTGCAGTCAGTCACCTGAACAGAAAGCACGGAGGGTTCTATGCATGTAAATGCATGTATGCATGGCCTTCAGGTCCTTTTTAAAATACCCCTATACTTTGGGTTTGTCCTATTACCTGTAGCAGTCAGTAAACAAACATATCACCTTTTTAGAGACAGGCCTGCACTCACTTCAGCATCATCGTCCACGGGGCCCTGGTAATAGACCATGACAGACGCAACGGAGACTGCATATGTTTGGAATCATCCAACCCAGACGCTCCATGGGACTGCCATATATGCCGATCAGTTGGGGTGGTTTTGGGGGTCAATGTGGGCATATATGGCATACATGGAGTGTTTGGGCAACTCCAACTCATCCTTTTTTGGTCGGTCTACTCTTTGCTGCGGCTCAATGCTTTGGAATAACATGAGCAGAGCATGGAGGCTAAAGGAAAGAGACTCAGCAGGATACATGCCAACCAACGCGTTTGTACTATATATGGGAGCTTTTACGAGCTTAATATAGAGGATATTGATTGTGAATACATTCCCCAAGCAGTCCAAGACCCAGATTACATCCTTAAAGTCGTGTTTTTTGTATGACCACGTCCAGTATTTCATGAGGTCATTGACCACGTAGGCTTCTATGGACTGGACTTGTCTTCGTTCCCTCCAGACATCCATCGATCGCGAAGACGGACCGACGGACCGACCGCTCGTCCACTCGTCCCACCAGGGCGCACGGTGGGCGAGACGAGCATCGATGAACTGCAGCGACAGTTGAGAGATGTCGGCTTCACCAGGTGTGGGGTCGATCGAGGTTTGTGGCCGTGGTCAGAAGGCACCCAAAGACCCAAATGAATGGAAGGATGAATGGAGGAATGAAACAACATCAACATGACGGTTGAAGTGAAATGATTTTGTGCAATGCAATGCAATGACATGACGTCAATGAATGAATGAATGCATGCATGAATGAATGAATGAACATAATGAAGGAAGGAAGGGAAGGAAAGGGAAGGAAAGGGAAGGGAAGGGAAGGACAGGACAGGACAGGAAGGAAGGAAGGAATACATTGTTTGTTTAGTTGGAGATGTTTGACGATGCGTGAGACAAAAATCATCAAGAATCGCCACGACCGGGACGTTGCCGTCTACCAGCTTTCTGAGAAGAACTTCACTCTATAGGTACGTATACGTATATATACTGCATGCAGTGCATGCCTATAGGGGGCCACTTACGCCATGGAACGCCCCGAAACAGTTGGTTCAAAATTGGAATTCCTTTTGGACGACTGCTTGGACGACGGGGATCTCATCCAGCTGTGTTCTTCATGTGGGACGTGAGATGACCCGGATCAATTCCGGAAACCTCGCTAGACCAGAGACCTCGTAGACACCACCTGCACCTTCTTGTGGCCCCCTGTGCTACATACCTTCGAAACCCCATCCCCATCCATGCCTTTGTCCCTGTAGAACCCAGTGAGTTGTTGTCCATCCACTGGGTGGAATGACCTGGGTGCCGTCCACTTCTAACAGCTGCTTTAGAAGTGTCTACTATACATGAGCTCCTGCCATCCTCCTTTCAACTTAGAGCCCACCAAGTCGACGACCGACCTCGACGTGTCGACCTCGTCGATGCGACACGTCCCAACCGCAGGTGGTTGGAGGCCTTTCACCTCCACGCGGCCCTCGCCGCGCGGAGGACCAAGCGCGAGACCGGCGGACGGCGGACGGCCGGGGCGGGCGGATCACGGAGTCCGCCGCGGGCGCGGTGTTTCACGGCGTTTTTGACCGGTGACGACCGGGAGGGTGGCCGGAGACGTTCCTCCCGGGGTTTTTGGGTGGGAATGTGTTTGACGAAGTTGGACGAGACCTTGGTAATTGCCTGAATTGCTCAGATGTTCTTTCAATGGCTTGGAAACTGAACAAAGGTCACTGGCTTGGGTTAGTTGCAGGTGCTTGTGGCACCAGTTAGGATTCCTGAAAGGGTTCCTGGAAACCTGAAAAGAATGATAATGTTTGAGGACGATTTGCATATGTTCGTCCCTCTCAGCTGTGGTAGGAAGCCTGGAGAAAGATGAGTAGTCTTGCAGAGAACATGGTTGTGATTGTTGATGATGACCCTTTGCTTCACACTCTGAGTACCAGAACAAGTGTTGTGCGGGCTAGCTACCACCAAAAAACATTTGAACACCCCACTATTATTCCTTGAAAGTATTCCATGACCTTCCCAGAAGCCCAGAAGAGCGTGCACACCCAACCCAAACATACCCAAAGCAATTGCCTTGCCACCCAATTCACGTTCAACATGAACTGGAAGTTGGCTCCAGATCCCGCCTCAAGGAAAACTTCATTGAAAAGGCCCAGCAGACCGTTGCGGAGCGAAAAGACTATCATCTTCAGCTGAGCTCGAGCATGCGCGAGCTCATCGGTCGGTGCCGAACTCAGATGTTTTCTCAGCGAATGGCGCCAGCGATGTCCAGAGCCGCTCGGGTCTGGTGGGATTGAGTTTATCGAAGAATGCAGAGCGAGTTGATTCCCTACAGGTCAATGGCCTCATGAAATACTGGAGTTGGTCATACAAAAGCACTATTCAAGCAAGCAAACGACCTGGTTTTACTGGGCCTTTGGACTTGTAGGGATTGATATGATTCGACCAAACCAAACATTGACGTTGGACAACCCCCCCCGGTTTGGTAGAGGAACCGTTGATACCCGTTGTTTTCCAAGGGGCCATGACACCACTTCCTGATTGGAGGGAATATGTTCCACAAAGAGTTCTATTCGCTGGATCTTAGAATGTCCAGCCACATGGGCTTCCACTGGACACTGGACTATTTGGCTTCCCCCCACTCAGCCGTAGAAAGAACCGCGCCCTCCCCAACTCGAAACCACCAGTCACTTGAATCGAAAGCCACCACCTGAATCGAATTGAACACCACTTCCCCCATGGGAAACCACCACTTCACCCAATGATCCACGCATCGAATTGGACTCCTTCGACCTTCGCTCAGCTTCGTGGAGCACTTCCTCATGGCCTCTTTCGGACCCTTGGGACGAACCGCGATGGTCTCCCGCGCGGGTCTCCCGACCGTCGGAGCCCGGGGTCGGAGGGTCGGAGGTCGGGTCGGAAGTCGGCACCAGTCACCCTAAGGACCCTAAGGATCCAGTCGTACCCTCTGAGAAGGTGGGACTGGGGTGGGTGCCAGGAGGGTCCAGTCTACCTTTTGAGGAGGTACGACTGGATCCCAGGGTCAGAGGATGTCAGACACTCCATGGGACTGCCCAAAATCGTGGCCCAAAGCGATGTGCGCCCGGCACTCCCGGCGGATGACCATGCTTTTCCCGGGATAGCGGTGATGTTTTCTGTTAACTTCCATCTCTACCGGGGAAGATGACTATGGAACCGGCATGGCATGGACCTTTTTGGAAAAGACTCCGACTCCTCTACCAGGACCTTCCAACAGGTGGTTTTTGGGCACCCCTTAACCACTAAGAGCCTATTTATAGACACCTCTTGGAAGGTCCTGGTATACAAACCGACGTGGGTGCTCAGGTTCCATGTGAATCTCTTCCCATGGTTGACCCCCACCCCCGTGGACCCCCATGGACCGCGGGCGCCCGCGCAGTCACATGGAGGGCCTGGTGCACGTCCATGGCCGATGGGACGAGCTGAGCGCCACCCGACGGCCCTCCATGTGACTCCTGGGATGTGTGTTTCCTCTGCCTTTTTTCCCTCCACGTCCCCAAAGAAGGAGACTGCATTAGCCAGGGAAGAGAGAGAAGAAAGAAACACAGGGCCCTGAAGATGAAGGACCCCTTGGTTCCAGCACTCCAGACGTCTCCCGTTCTGCGCGTCGTCGCGGGAATGATCCTGCTGAAAACGGACCCCGAAAAGCCACTGGAAACCGTGGAAAACAGTCCCAGACACTCCATGGAATATATGCCTACATTGACCCCTCAAACCACGGCTATAGGCCTAATGGATTTGTCAGGTGGCAAGCCACCAGGCTAGCCCCCTGAAACTATGGGAGGACAACAATAAACAAGTGCTGTTTGTGCAGGTCCATTTCAGGTTCTATTTGACGAGTTCTTACTTTTGAGTCGTTGACCGTGTGGGCCCCTTCCATTGAAAACCAAGCCAAGGAATCAAAGAAGCTTACATCGAAAGCCAGAGAGACACTTGCTGCCACGGCTGGAACTGGGTGATGGATGGCTTTCACACGCTGTCGCAGTTCACAACATGTGACAGCACCTACACTAGCCATGAGTAAGGCCCTTAGAGACAGACCCGTTTTGGACACGACCTTACCTTACCTCGACCAGCCGGGACAAAGGGTCGTGAGATTCTTTCGGGTTTCACCTACACTAAAGAGCAACTCTTTGCTTGATTAAGACCAATATCTCAAGAAGCTACTGTACTAGTAGCTGCAGGTATTCAAGACGCACGATTGCATGCTTCTGTGAGAGGCTTTGGTAGCTAATTACCATGCAACTTCATGGCCATGGGCGATCTTGCATGTCATCACCAAAAGTCTGGCGCTTGCCATTCTTACGGTTCCATTGATTTGTTTTTTTCCCCGATGCAATGTGAGCTCAAGCAGCCCACAAGACCCAATAGATTTATGATGATTTATGATATTCATGGAGCAAAGTCTGACCCTGACAGTTGTAAGTTATACAAGTTAAAAGGGGTTGCAACTTGGACGTCATATCCACAGTCCACTAAATCCAAACAAGGATGTAAGTGTTTAAGTGGAACGGCGCACAATTTTGTGGGTTTGCCATTTGTAAGTCTCCAAAAACGTTCCTTGAGTAGTGTTTCTGCATGACCAACTCCAGTCAAATGGGGTCTTTGACCTGAAGCAATAGAGATCCAAGTACCTTCCCAGCAGGTGATGTGTTCGACACTGTTATGTAGGTGCCAGAAGGGTCCAGCGTACCTTCTAAGAAGGTAGGACTGGATCCCTAGTCCCAAAATGCGGAGAAAGCTGAGGACCGCTTTAAGTGCGAAGTGCATTTGATGGCTGGCGAGGTGGCACATTGGATGACGCCCTTCTGCCAATCGGGGCTCGGAGATCGGCCAAGCACTAACAAGACTGACCCCGAGGACGACCATTTTCTGTTTGATTAATTTTGTTGGTAGATGAAGTCCGTTTAAGCATCCTTTCAAGGGCAGGGTAGATAAACTATGATCAATTGCCGCTCCACTCACCACAAACTGCCACAGCCCCCATCAATGTTTTTTCGCGTAACGTATCGTAACGTATTTGTATTGGGCATGCAACCAAATATCAAAAATGTTAGACGTTAGAGAGACAAGCGGCGTGGCCAAGCAGGGGAGAAGGCCAGGACAAGGAGGCGGTGACGACCATGCAGACAAGGCCTGGACAAAGCCCTCAGAAGCCGGAGAAGAAAGGTTCATGGTACCTGGCCCCCGGTGAAGCCAAGCAAGAGCGGCCAGAGGACACCAGGAGGACACCAGGAGGACATAGGCTTCGCCAGGGTGGCCAGCCCAGCAGGACAAGAAGAGGACAACATGCGGCCAGAGACTGCGGCCAGTGTTTTCATAAGAGAGACCCCCAACAAGAAACTTTTTGCTTGGGGAAAACATGTACAATGGTGTGAACATGTACAATGGTGTGCGCAGGCAGCCTGAATTCAGGCAGGTCGGACCGGGGTCTCTGATCCCGAGATACCATCAACGACTTCGTCGTCGGGTAAGGAATGTGAACTGCAAGCTAGTGGCCCACAAGGAGGACAGCAACTGGAACTGCAAATGGGTGCCGGGTGCCGGACTCCCATGTTGTAGAAGGGAATGTCTCCTGACTCCGGACGTCTGAAAAAGAGCGGAGGCTTCCCCTCCTACGGGGTCTGTGCCGGCTCTGTTTGAGGCCTCCCATTCGGGTTTTGATGGAGGCCGGGAACATCAGAAGAGGCATAGGTGGCATAGCAGGGCAGGGACAGAAGGCCTCACGAAAGTAGGCAGAAGGCTCGGTAGAGGATTGCAGAGGTGGCAAGTAGAGGTAGCTAGATCATGCATAGTTAAGATGTAATATATGTATAAGATATGTAAGCTAGCAGTCTACGAGTAGTACCTTCTTGTTGGGCCAATATGTCGGCAAGCTTTCATGTGGGCTCAGCCTCTCATTTGTCATGCAGGCCAAGATGACTCCAGCGAAATAACGTCCTCACCCCCCGCACTTGCAAAGCAAACATGGCACATTGTGGTGTCAAACCCATCTCGAAGGTACCAAGGGGGCAACGCGTTTGATACTTGAACATGCAGCACCAGCAAAAAAGAAACACCAACTACGGTCAAGACCGCTCCCCAACGCTTGGTGTGCTTGCTGCCTGGTGGCTGAGGAGAGATGCTGAAGAATGTTTGCTGGGAGATCAAGAAGTTCCTTGCCTGTCACTGCAGTCACTGCAGCAGTGTCCCTGCTAACTCTATTTCGCAGCTCGTGCCTAGCGGGAAAGCTTCGAAGTGACTTTGTGACGAGGTATCTCAAATCATATCATGGGTTACAGAAGAAATCCCTCAGCTAGAAACGCCCTCAAGAAGAACTGAGCTTTGAGTGAGGTTGCACACTTCGTGTATATATAGATGACACGTCATGTATAGTTGATGTCTAGGAGCACTTATCCAAGACTGGAATTGTCATGTAAAGACTTGCATCATCGGTAAACGGCTTTGCCGTTTGCACTGTGTCACTGGACGCCAACCTGATTTGGCTCAAGACTGGAAAAACTAAGGTTCGTTGCCCGCCATCGAAACGTCGCATCGACGGGTTGACGGGTTGATTGAACGTTGTGTTGAACTTCCAGGGAAGAGCAACTTATCTGGTTATCAGCCGCAAGAGCTACAAGGAGATCAGTGGTTGAAGAAACGAGACCATACACATAGAGAGAGACAAGCTTGTCAAAACGAGAACATTGGCATTGTGTTGAAACTTCTTTCGAACACTTGTTGCCTCGCGCTTCCGGGCGCGATCCATGCCACCGCGAGAACGATCGCGGCGTCGTCGTGGCCCACGGGGTGGTGATCCCAACAGGCCGAGTCAGCAGTCCAGAAGAGAGCGTGGACTGCCGACAGAAGACAGAGAACACGAAAGAAGCGCTCGGCGACGTGATCCTTGGGTTGAGCGTGGTCGTGATCGCGAGCGAGAGTACGCTCGCGAGAGCAGAGAGAGAAGGCCTGCCCGCGAGGATCCTCCGAGGCGGGAGGTGTATCGGGCGCAGAGCCCGAGGCAACCAAGGTTTCCTCCTCCTGGTGTCGTAGAAACTTGGGAGACCAGACGGCCACCAAGGCCAGTGTCGGAGTCCGAGGGTGAATCATTGGTTGAAGAGCGTTCTCGCGATCGACGAAGGCGCTCACAGACGCCGAGTGAACAGACGGAGAGATCCCGTTCGAGGCCTCGTGGTCGGTGGCAAAAGTGCTGGGTGTGGGTTCCTGAAGGTGGATTGAGCCCTGTACGTGACGACAGCAGGGATCGAGAAGGGTCCCAAGACGACGAGGTTCCCGAGGAGGACGTGGAGCTTGAAGGTGAGAGTGTTGACACGGTGACAGGTGAGCCTCGTGAGACTCGTCGTACAGCAGTTGGTGACATTGCTCCTGAGGTTCCCGGCGCTTCGCCGGAAGTGGCATCAGGTGTTGACTTTTCAGCGACCGAGGATTCGATCGCGAGACAGGCAACCGAGGAGGCCACGGAGCATTCGGTGTCGGCAGAACCGGAGACTCTTCGTGAGCGTGCCCGTGAACTCCGCTCGAAGGCCCCTAGGCCATCTGCAAGCAAGCCTTCACCGTCAGTGAGCGAGGAACAGTTTGAGGAGAAGCCGCCAGTTGAAGAGCGTGTCAAACCTCCACCAACCGCAACATCGGCTAAGGCCAAGGTACGAAAGGAGTCAAGTGAGACTGGAGACATTGTGCGTGAGCAGTCAGCGGTTGGTGCATTGAAGCGTGCAATTGGTCGAGATACGCCTTCGCGTCATCGCGAAGGTGAAAGCTCTTCTGGATCGGGTTTGAAGCGAGCTCTTGAGGAACTTCCAGTTCCGCCGCCTGTTCCTACAAAAGAGGAGATAGAGCAGACGGAAGCCGCCAGGAAACGTGAGATTGAGAACTTGCCGACTCCACCTCCGGCACCGAGAACTCCTCCTGTGCAGTTGACTCGTGCATCGTCGAAACCTCGCCTTACTGAAGAAGTCCGACCAGTGGTTCTCGCGCCGAGACCAAAGGAGAGACCAGCTCAGCCAGAGCAAACGGCACCTTCTCCATCATCCCGACCTCCGGAACCACGTGGTGCGCCGACGAACTGGCAAGATAAACCACTCGTGCTGCTGGACTTCCATAAAACCCTCAGCTTTCCGAACAACGACCCACCGGTGGCGGAGGCGACCGTGCAGACATTGAAGACGGTCAAGGAGAAAGGATTCTCCATCGGAATCCTCAGTTTCGCCTCGAATAAGGCCACTCAGGAAGGCGTTGCCGCTGGTGTCGCTGAGCTTGAGCGTCGACTTGGTTGGTCTTTTGACATTTTCGCGAGAACGCGAACGAAGTTTTCTACAGACACCGAGCAGGGGGCATCGATTACAGGACACGTTGGAAGCAAAGCGAAGTTGGTCGCGCAGTTTGGCCCGATCGTATACGTTGACGACCAAGGGTCACTGCTGAACGACGTGCGCTCCCTCCAGCAGAACGTGCCGATCGGACACAAGACCCACTGCATTCGTGCTGCATTGTATCCGAGTGAGGCCTTGGTTCCACTTGAGAGGACGCTCAGGACGTTTCCGAGGACCAGCGAGCTGCCCACCGCCAGAGAGCTGGGCAGGATCTTCGGAACCAGGTGAGACAAGAAGGAGACGACCAGTGTGCTTGTACATTGGTCGAGAGTGGGCATTGCATCATTGGTCGATAAACCCTTCTGCAAAAGCTACGTGTTGGGTTGAGGCTGGCGATACATTGCTGTTGAATTCGGTGGCATTGGTCAATAAACCTGTCAGCTAAGGCTACGAGTCGGGTTGAGGCCGTTGCTACGACATTGATCTTGTGTGGTCAGATAGTGGTTGTGTTGAGGACGATCCATTGGTTGGTAGTTGAGCATTGGTTGGTAGTTGAACATTGGTTAGTGTCTGTGGCCGAAGCTTGTGCTGCCTTCGCGTCTGATTCGCGTACCCACGCGACGGACGCGACTCGCCGACTGCGTCTCTACGCGTCCCACTGCCAAAATTCGCAGCTTTCAGCGCGTGGCAATAAACTCCGCGACAAACGTCGCGTGCCGGCAGTGAAAAGAGGAGGTGGTGCTGCTCAGTGTGTCGAGACAGTGTTGTTTGTTGATTTTTGAGCATTTGTGAACAAACGATTTGTAGTTAGTTGAGAGTCCTTCGACAGAGTCGGGTCGAGATTTGAGTGTGTTGAGATTGAGTTGACAGATTGAGTTGAGAGTCGTTGCATTGCACCGGATAGTCGATGTCAAAACGGTCGCTTCCTGCAACACCCTTTCGTGTCATCGGTCCTGAAGGCTCCTACGAAACCTCGAGTTCATCCATTTCTCCGGAGACTGGGCTTGCGAGGATGGAGGGTGATTTGGGAACTGGTGGAGGACCCGGGCTCCAAGTGAGCGTGCCGGCCAAGGGAAACACAAAGGTTGCAGCGAGTCGTATGCGGACCCAGAGTTCTGAACCTTCCCAACCTTCTGGGGCACAAGGTGATCCATCGACTGTTCCTGGGGTGCATGTTTATGATCAGAGAACCCTCAACCACCTACAAGTACTCAACCAGCACAACATCGATCCAGAGACTCTTGAGAGAATTGTTCAGGGTTACGTTCAATCGCAGTTGAACCATGCAGAACAGGTGATACAGCATGAACGACAACAACATCAACTTGAGCAGCAAAATGCAGCACTGCAGTTGAGCCTTGAACATCAACAGATGAACCAACACATACAACAACAAGAAGCCAACATGGCACAACAAGCACACAGCAGAATCAGCCAGATCACAACAGAGGCACAAGCAGAAATACTCAAGCATCAGCAGATAGCAGAACAAGCACAGCGCGAGATACAACGCGTGACAGCTGCAGCAGAAGCAAGGTGTCAAGACCTTGCACGAGAGAACGAAGCACTCCGGGCTTCGCCTGTTGCAGGCTACTTCGATGCGTGTCCGTCGGAAGCCGGAAGAGCCCCATCGGTTGCTTCAGCCTCGCCATTGAATGTTGTTTACTGCCATGTGTGTGGAAATCAAAATGTTGTTGGTCGTGGTTGGTGTTGGAACTGCAAAAGTAGTCTTGAAGAGCCCGAGAATGGTACGGACCCTTTTGAACCATCTTCACATGAAAGATATATGTACCCAGTGCCTACGCGACCCTCTAGTGTCGCGACCATCAGGGAGCCAGTCAACATACAAAGGAACATTGCGTCGCATGAAGGACAATCCCATGCAGAACTTCCTCTTCCTCGAGCCCCTGGCGGTCCGGGACCGTATGGCACGCCGTGTGGTGCATTGCATGATGGTTCACATGTTCATCATCTTGGTGTTGATCCCAGGTTGGTCTATGGAATGTCGACCCCAAAGGCTGTTTCAGAGTCAGGGAGTGCTCCTGTTCCTGGTGTAGGATTTCAACGGGCCGTTCCGGCCATGCCATCGTTCCCAAGAGCTTCAATGGGACCGGCTTACCTACCAGGGGGGTACATCGGCACTATTCCAGAAGCACCTCCAGGTGTATCATCATCAAGTCACCCACCAAACATCTCCATTGCGACACCTCGTAAGAAGGAGTCATCGGAGTCTGGTGGAGGATCAGCGAGCTCGGATGATTCATCCGATGAAGGCTCAAGAATGCCGGCAGGCAACCCTCCTGAATCTTGGTTGCTTGACGGTGAAACCGAAGACAACGTGTACAAAATCAAGCACTTGAGAAACATCTCAATCACCAAGTTGCCAACAGATGCAACATCTTGTAGAGAGTGGCGTGCTGCGTTGCTTGCGTCGGTGTCGCGCATTGATCTCACTGCGCGTGATGTGTTGGTCAAGTATACCTCTCATTGCATGGATGCTGGACGAGGTCGGACCTTCAGAGCTACGCTCCAGAATGACCAGTCGTTCATCCCTTTCAACAAGCACATCGCCGCAGAGCTCATCAAGCAGGACGTCCTCTCCACCAACACGGATTTGGCCCATGAGCTCACCTCCTATGTTGAAGCGTGTACTGCAGTCAGTCAAGGTCCAAAAGGAATGGCGTTGTTGAACATTGTTGCGTCGTACTATGAGACTGGGTTGACTCATTCGGTTGCGCTTGATCAGATGCACTTGTTGTCGTTGACGCTTGCAGGCCGGAGTGCCAAGGACCTCACGGAGTTTGTCAGGAAGACCAACTACATCCTCCATGGTTTGAAGCAGTC